CAGGAATGTCTACCCTGCTCTTTTTAGCCTCATGAGCCTCAGCTGACCTGGGCTCTGAAACTTGCTGTCCTGGTTTTTTTATTTGTTTGTTTTGCAGTGCAAACATATTTGAAGCCTCATTTCTCTTGAGATAAAATTCAGTGGTAATTTTGCTATGGAATTGCCTGGATGCAGTGAAACTTGGAGGATGTTAGAATACCAGTGGCAATAGTCATGCTCTAAATATAGCTAATGGTGTCAAAAGATGAAATATACTGTATACTTTTGATGGAAGTAAATAATGTTTTCTGTCCTCAGTAATATGTCCTGATTGGTACAAATATTCTGAGTGGTAAATATCAAGTTATTCAATATATTTAAATACAAATCTATTCCAGGGTATTAACATAGTCAGGCCAGTTGGCTCAATTAAGGAATTAAGGAGATCCACATTAGGAAATGCAAAAGACATTCTCTGGATGTTGGTAAGTTTAATTATGATGTTGTAGGAACGCCTAATTATGAGTTGAAGCCATGCCCCTGTGCTGGCTAGTAAAATCTAGTAGAAGAATTTACTGGGTCCATTTTTGTTGAATATTATCAGCAGGGCTCCCCCCCATGGCTCCTGGCACCCCCGGCAGGCCAGGGCCCCCCCCCTCCATTCAGCAAGTTGATGGTTCTCAAATACATATGAAAATCCAATTTCCACAGAAAATTAGAAGCTTCTAAGATAACTATGAGCAGACATAGCTCTCACCTTTATATATGGTGTGACTGACTAATAAGAAAAAAGGTTGACTTTAATAGATACTGAATACTGAAACTTGAAATAGTTGCAGTGGAGAGGACTGGCTGCTATAATTTTTGAAAATGGTACATCACAGATTAAAATTAACTATAAGCTCACTAAGTCAAACAGGATAAATAGGATTCATACAGATTATTAAATTTGCCACCCTTTCATTTGGAGAGCTGGAATTAATTCAAGTTAACTGAGTGACCCATAAAATTATTCTGTTCAAATGCTTCTACTTAATACAATTAATGACTATAGCCAGTTACTTAATAGTATCAGCAGAACAATAAGCCTCAATGAGCAATTAAAAATAAGTCCTGAATAACCAGCTAGTTGGCAGGGAGGGTATAGATGGCTATGTATTCTTCAGACTTTGAAAGTAATCCCAAAATGTGTATTTCTAATGCAATAATAATAATTTATAATTAATTTCAGAACATCCCAGTAAGGAACATACATTATATTTAATATAGAGCTAGGTAACCTGAGACTGAAGAGCTTAAATCATTTGGCAAATATCACACAGCAGATCAGTGACAAGTTCAAAAAATCTCAATCGACTGCCTGCTTTCAAGTCCCTTGCTCTAAGTACTGTATTTGCAGATTACATTAGTTTTAAGAGTTGATCCTAAGCATGCTAAATGATTTTCTACATTTTAGAAATGCTATATTGACAAGTTAGTTTATGTTCTCTGAACATTGCAGAATTGTGTTCATACTTTTGCATTTAGCCTTAAATGTACACTAAGAGAAAATCCTTATCTAAATTAAGCTATATGGATCACAGAGAGACAGCTGTGGCTTCACTAAAGTAGACCATTCTTTTTTTCCTTGCTAATCCATGTGATTCATTGCTCTAATCCAGGGGTGAGGAACCATTTCTGGGTCAGGGGCTGCTGACCTACAAAAAAATCAGTCAGGGGGCCACACACAAGGAGCCAAACCCTCCCCCCAAAACATAACTGTCACTGACTTGATCCCCGACTGAGAAGGATAGACTTCCCACATTCTCCTCACACACCAGAGCCTGAGTGGGGAAGGTGCAGGCTAGTAGATTTTGAATGCTGCAGCCCTGCAATAGGGTGCCAACACAGGCTCCCCAATGCTGGGGGGGGGGGGAGAGCCCTGAGGCCTTAGGTTCCCCACCCTTAACCATTATGTGTGTGATTCTTCCACTGTTTACCTCCAGGAGTGGTACTTACTCCTGTGAGCAGTCCTACCAATTTCAATAGGACTACTTGTGTAAGTACTAACTCAACATGAGTACAGATGACAGAAATGGGCCCTGTTCTTATTCATGGTGTGGTTAAAGTTCTGACCTCATTAGTGTCTGTAAACTTGCTGAATTTAGTGGGAGAAAATGAGGGCAGAGTCAATGACGTTATGGACCTATATTTTAATTCAATTTTAAGACTCATTTTGTGTATCTTCTGCTTACAAATAAGATCCTCAGTTTGAATACCTCCTCCTGTAACTCGTAGAATTTTCACTAAACACAGCTATTAGTTGAAACAATAGTAAAGAATAAAATTGTGAAGCATGTAGAAGAACATAATTTGTTGGACAAAAGTCAACATGGTTTCTGTAAAGGGAAATCCTGTCTTACTAATCTATTAGAGTTCTTTGAAGGGGTTAACAAACATGCGGACAAGGGGGATCCAGTAGATATAGTATACTTGGATTTTCAGAAAGCCTTTGACAAGGTCCCTCACCAAAGGCTCTTGTGTAAATTACATGGCCATGGGATAAGAGGGAAGGTCCTTTCTTGGATTGAGAACTGGTTAAAAGACAGGAAACAAAGGGTAGGAATAAATGGTAAATTTTCAGATTGGAGAGGGGTAACTAGTGGTGTACCCCAAGGGTCAGTCCTGGGACCAATCCTTTTCAACTTATTCATAAATGATCTGGAGAAAGGGGTAAGCAGTGAGGTAGTAAAGTTTGCAGATGATACCAAACTGTTTAGGATAGTCAAGACAGAAGCAGACTGTGAGGGACTCCAAGAAGATCTCACCAAACTGAGTGATTGGGCAACAAAATGGCAAATGAAATTTAATGTGGATAAGTGTAAAGTAATGCACATCGGGAAAAATAACCCCAACTATACGTACAGTATGATGGGGGCTAATTTGGTTACGACAAATCAGGAAAGAGATCTTGGAGTTATCGTGGACAGTTCTCTGAAAACTTCCACACAGTGTGCAGCGGCGGTCAAAAAGGCAAATAGGATGCTAGGAATTATTAGGAAAGGGATAGAAAATAAGAACCAGAACATCTTACTGCCCCTGTATAAAACTATGGTACGCCCACATCTTGAATACTGTGTACAGATGTGGTCTCCTCACCTCAAAAAAGATATTTTGGCCTTGGAAAGGGTTCAGAAAAGGGCAACTAAAATGATTAGGGGTTTGGAACAGGTCCCATATGAAGAGAGG